TAAAGAGTGATTTAGTCTTGATACAAATACACTGCATATAGGTACAGACAAGCACACACACCCTTTTAGTAGTGTACTATGCAAAAATGCACATTATGCATTACACATACAAACGAAAACATTTCACTCATGTCCAGTGTATTCAATGAGGGCTGTGAATTCAGAAATTTCATCATAAAAAGTTTTTCACCAACTAAATAATATAAATAAAAAATATTCCAGAAGTCATAAATAAAAAAAAAATATTTAAACTGTGACTATCCCTAAAATCAAGGGATAGTCATTTGATCTAATGTCAAATGTGCCTATTGTTGTTGCAGACTCTAGTAGTTTATTGTTGTTCAGTCTCCTTGACAGCATCTGAAATCACATACTTCACTAATACATAATGGGTAGGAAAAGACATATGCGACAAGCGCAGAATGTCTGAATTCCAGTGCACAGTTCAGTGCATATGAACATTTTACAATACCGTGAGGACTTGTGTCTGTAAGTGAAGCAGCAAAACTAATGCTATTATCAGCAAAATGAGAAACAAATCTTGTTGTATTAGCTGAATACAAAACAGGTTCATACTATATAAATACTTTAAGTGACCTGTAAAAAAATAAATGAAGAGTTTAGATAAATGGTCCCAAACTTAATTCCTGGAGGGCTGCAGTTCTGCGTAGTTTAGTTCCAACCACCTCCAACTCAGGTTTGAGACCTTTGGTTAAGACACAAAAACCTCTAAATGTCTCCGAAATTCTCGTCTAAAATGAGCATTTTATCAGGCTCCTGTGTGTTTGTTCAGTAATATCACTTTTATGACAAACAATAAGTCTTGGTCCTGGTCTTTAAGATGAAACATCTCAATATAAACAAAGGAACTTTCATATCTTGATGGAATTTTTTTTTTGTTTTTTTGCATCTGAACTCTTCAAATACCTTTTAATAGCCTTTAAATTATAATAGCCGTATTTCTTTTTTTTTGGCTTCGAGCATGTACTGCATTGATACAGCAAACTATATGCATCCCCTTACATATGCAAATACAGTATATTAGCTTATATGCATAGGCTTTTGTAATGTAAAATGCAAAGGAATACACAAAAGTTCTCTGAACTTACCTTTGTATAGGTTAGTGACGGCAGTTGCAGCATTTTGAAAGGGAACCCACAAGGAAAGGCCCTGTTGTTGTTGACATACTCTATCTGAGGGGAGGTAACAGACAGGACAGGAAATGTTTACGTTGCAATGGAGATACATCATTTCCCGTTCAAATAACACACACACACACACTTTTAGACACTGTGCTGAAAGAATACCAAAAAAAGCACACACACAAGACAACTAAACCAAACCTAGGCTTTATATTTAGTACCTTTACAGCCTCTCACACTGACTGTGTGTTATGAGATAGTGAGCTGCCTACTTAAACAGCACTTTTGGGGCCGTAAGCACGCCTGGAATGTTCTAAAAGCGTCTGTGATGACCAAAAGTGCGGTCCACATCAGCAGCTCTATGTTTTGAGACATAGCCATTAATTACACGACGTCTAAATTTGATATGTAGCAAGAGCACTCAACGCCATTTTGTTGAGCAGATTCAGTTTATCTGATTGTAGCGTTTTGTCACAACAGAACATTGCGTGTAAAAGCATTGTGTTCATTAAACCAGCTTCGTACTGTTTGGCATATTTAATGACACACCAATAAGAACAGAACAACTCTGACACAATAACACACAATCTTTGAACTTAGCCAGCTAATCCTGCCTTCGCCATTTTGTTTCGCATACTATTATTGTTGTTAAAGAAAAATATCCCGTTTTCACCCGGTCACTACGTAGTTTGTATTTCTAGATCGTTTCGTTTAGATACACGACATCTGAGTTCATAACAGAGGAGTTTTCGATCCTAAATCGAGTTATTTTCATCAGATGAACTCCTCCCTGCACTTCGCCATTTTGTTTCGCTCATAGACAACCAGCTGGGTGACGCTTTAAATATTTTAAAATATCACAATAACGTTAGACGTTTACGCATTATGTAGTCAGCTCTATTAACAGCTAAAACTGATAAATGGAGACATTTCTGGGTTGTTTCCTCATATAAACGATGAGTGTCAGTTTACGTCGCTCGTCTGCCACTTAGCATCAATGCTAATCTGTAAACACCACCGACCTTCAAAACAAGCAAATAACAGACGACATAGCCGTATTTGAACCCCAAACGTGAGTGTTTTGTTATTAAGCAACCGCTCGCCAGCCTAATTTATTCGTGTTAGGTTTAATTTGGTGGCTATTCACTGAGCTTTTGAGTTAGTGTCCTTTGTTTGTCAGTGTCAAGAGTTAGCTGGCTAGCTCGCGATGACTTTTTATTACACATTTCACACCTTTATACAGTTGTGCGACGGCGGTGGCGGAGTTTTGGAAAAGATGCCAGAGTTTTTGTTGGCTCTGATCGGTCTCCTCCTCGGCCGGTTCCTCCTGCTCGGCCTCGGCTAGGCACTGCCGCTCCCATTTGGAGAACCAGTGCTCGGGTCCGTGTTCCTGGATCTCCGCTTCCCCCTCCTCCTTCTTCTCCTCCATGGCCACAAAAACACGTAAACCGCTGCTGTGATGCTCTAACGTTCGCTGGAAAAGTTCTCCGTGGCGTTTAAACCCGGCCGAAGTGGTTTGTCGGCGGCGGCCTCATCGACAGCTGTTAGTTTACGTCTGCATAGCGAACGGTGCTTGCACTTCTCCGCCACACAGCCGATGAAAACAACTTAACGTTGCCGAGGCACAAGCCTCTCCCTCTAGAGTTATACTCGATTCTCCTTGGCTACATATTTTTGGGGGCGTGTACTGGCCTAAACAGCTTAAATGTTTATTGGTCGCGTGAACAGTCAGTCATCTGTCATAGAGCGACAACGAATGAAGACACCGCCCCTGTTTATGTGCGCTGCCACACCAAATACTTGAGCCTCAAGTACACTCAGTACGAACAGGAGATTGCGCAAGCACATAATGAGTCGCTATTCATGCAGAAGAGTGTCCTTTACAGTCCTTTACTGTTTCTCTTCTGTTCATTACAGTAGGCGACTGTTAAACAAAGAGAACGGTGTTTTGATTATACATCCTGTTGTGATCACCATCTTCGGACTGCAGATGGCGCCAATGTGCAGCTGCACGATGCGTCTTTTAAGTTTGAAGGGCAGAGTCAAGACTTTCACAGGGAGGAAACTAAATCACGGTGGAGGATTACAAAAACAGTCTAATTACATGTCTAATCATTCATTCATTTACTTTCCTTTTGATTTTTCCCTTTATTCATCAGGGGTCGCCACAGCTGAATGAACCGCCAACTTATCCAGCATATATTTACACAGCAGATGCCCTTCCAGTTGCAACTCAGTTCTGGGAAACATCAAAACATACTACGGCCAATTTAGTTTATTCAATTCACCTACTGCACATGTCTTTGTACTGTGGGGGAGACAAATGCCAAATGACCCAGCTGAGACTCGAACCAGTGACTTTCTTGCTGTGAGGCAACAGTGCTAACCACTGAGCCACAGTGTTGCCCACTATATTTATTTATTGCATATAATATTTTATATATCATGCTTTTGGGAAACGGTATTTGAAACTATTTAATGAATATTTAATTGAATAGATAGCCAATAAATAATCAAACAGTATATTAAGATCAATAAATAAACACACCTACGTATAAAACTATTAAAAATAAAAGCAAATTATGGCTTACAGTTATGCAGTACTTTTGATTATAATAAATCCACAAATATTATCTAAAATGCAAATAAATAGATTTTCCAAAATACCATAGAAATAAATGTAAAAAAAAAAGTTTTAAAAGAAATAAGCAATTTGGCTAAAATTGATTATAAAAATGTTATTAAAATAAATATGTAAATACTGTATATACAGTATAATAAGTAGGGACAAAGTATTAATGCAAGCGAAAATATTTTCCTAATATTATATTTTGGGGTCCATGGGATCTGAAAACCCTTTAGATTAGATTAGATTAGATTAGATTCAACTTTATTGTCATTACACATGTACAATTACAATGCAACGAAATGCAGTTTAGGTCTAACCAGCAGTGCAATAGCAGCAAGTGCAGGATACAGGTATAAGTTATAAAGTGCAGTTATAGAAAAATATGGTGATATTTACAGATGGATGTACTATGAACATTATATACAGGTTGTATTAGCTTTAGGGCGGCATATAAGACTCAGTTTTATTAAGAAGTCCAAATTAAGCTAAAATATGTGTTATGTTAGTTCTAGTTGCATACATTTCCAATAGAATTAAGATAATATTATGAAAGATATAAAGTTAATGAGATGTTTATAATCCCATAACACACTACTTGCATGAAAACTTGGATGTCCCAGTCTTAAATGCTGATTTTACTTAGTCTTATAATAAAATAATTGCATTTTTTTTATTGCGAATGCTCATCAAAAACCTGTTATATCTTATTTAATACTCACATTTAAAGTGATTTTTCTTTAAAAAAAAGATAATCAAGTAATATGTTAAGGATACATTAAGCATATAACCAACATGGATGTTGGATAATCAACATCTTTCCATGTGATAAATGATTAATTTAAAATATAGTTTATTGAATTTGACACCACAGATGGTTAAAAATTGACACTGAAAAACATTTTTAAACCATCAAATACAAGTAATTCAAACCAAAATAATATTACGAGTAGATCACATCATTTTACATCACAATTCTTTCATCTTCAAGAAAGCTAAGTGCAAACCTTAACATTTTATATCTTCTTACCTAAGCACAAGAGTTATACTGTCGCAGCAGAGTTACATATAGCCTGTGAGGACTTTGGCAGGAGGCGTGCAGTGAGCTCTGCTTGTATAAGTTAAAAGGTCATCATCTGAAATAAAATGCCCTGAAAGGGTGGAGCATCAACAGTCTTTTGATTGTTCATTTCACCAGGATATTCCTCACTTTTCCTCTCCTCTTCAGCTCCATGGAGGTGTGTGAGATAAAAATGCTGCCTGCTTTGGAGAGTGATGGCGCAACAGTGCATGTAAAAGTGCCAGGACCAATTCTGACATACCAGAATATTCACTACTGTATTAGAGAAAGCCGTGGGCTGTGCTGCAAGAAAGCACCTGAGAGAGACATCCTGAAAAATGTCAGGTAAGTGCTGTAGAAACAGATTTTATATGATAAATCGCTTGTAATGTGAGTATTTGCAGCAGAACACACTGCTGGGCTGTTAGATGTTGATTGCAGATTAATTCGATAGCGATAACTGTTATCTTCAAGATGTGCGTTCCAGAGATATCAAAGTCTTTCGGTTTATTTCAAGAGTTTTCATATGTGAAATAAAGTGACTGACTTAATGTATTAAAAATATCACACTAAATTTGTTGCAGAGTTCAAATGTTTATAAAGATATGAATAGAAGGAATAAGTGCACAAAAAGAAGTGTTATTTTTGCATTCTTCTAGTCAACAATTGGATTTTAAATTTTATTTATTTATTTATTTATTGTTTTAATTAATTTATTTTATTTAAATTTTTATTGAATATGTCACTGCTTATGTTCTACCTCCAAATATGATATGTGGAAAATAACTTCTGTTACATTATTACGTTTTTCATACTAATTATATACTATATTTACATATTTATTTACTTATTTTAATTTTATTTACATTTTCATGAATCTTTTTAACCATAATTCTTTTTAAAATCTAATTTTACGACATTTTGGATTGTGTTTTATTCCAGAACATTAAAATATATGTGCTTGAATTTGCTGTTGCATTTTGATTGCAGATTAATTTGATATCGATACCTGTTATCTTCAAGATGTGCGTTCCTGAGATATGAAAACCTTTCAGTTACTTTTAGGAGTTTTCATATGCGAAATAAAAATGACTGACCTAATGTATTTGAAAAATTTCACACCAAATATGCTGCTGAGTTCAAATGTTTATAGTGATAAGAATGTAAAGAGTGAGTGCACAAAAGAAGTGTTATGTTAACATATTTATTTACTTATTGTTATTTTATTTACATTTTCATAATTCCTTTTAACCAAACTATATATTTTTAATATCTATTTTTACGACATTTTGCATTGTGTTTTATTCTAGAACATAAGAACTATGAGTATTATTTTTATAACTTATTTTTTAATAAAAATGTTTTGTGTTTAAGCATGTGTGTTCAAGTATAATGATGCACATAAAATAATATTTAAGAAATAAATAATAAAACTTTTAGTGATAAATTGTACACTTTAACAAAGGTTTGTTGTCAATATGGTTTTTCATGCTTTTCAAAATCTCCATTTACTGACCATACAGCATTTATTTAATCAAATATACAGTAATATACTAATACTTTTGCAATGTTATTACTGCTACATGTGTTTTATTTGAAAATGTAATTAATGGGATGGCATAAATGTTCATGAACTTTTAGCATGATTTCTCTAGTCTTCAGTGTCACATAATCATCCTCATATATGCAGATTTGATAGTTACAAAATATTTATTGTTATCAATGTTGAAAACATTTTTTCTTATTATTATTAATTGATGAATAAATCATACAAACAGCAATTAAAATAGCAATCTTTTGTATCTATAAACGTATTTTGTTGTTATTTTTGGACAATTGAATGCATCTTTCCTTAATAAACATGTTTATTTCTTGTATCTTTTAAACACTACTATGTATATGAAGAGTTCAGATGCAAAAACCTCTAAGTTCCATCTGGAGTTATCATCTACAATAAGCATTTTTCAGTTATTTCATGTTAAACGTGTTGAAAATAACCTTTTTTTTTTGCAATCAAAGTGAAATTACACATCAAAGAAAAATACTAACATTAGAAGAAAATTTTGGATGGTACTTAGAGGTTTTTGCATCTGAACTCTTCATATATATGTTGTGTATACTCTAATTTAGATGTTGCCACATGAAGCACTTTTCTATCTTATTTGATAAACTTTTTACAGTGCACTTACCGTAATGAATGCTTTGTTATTGTCCTTTTGTTTCTGTTTTATAGTGGAATCATGAAAACAGGACTGAATGCAATCATGGGAGCAACTGGAAGCGGCAAAACATCGTAAGACGATCACAAAATCATTACACCATACAAAGGTTGCAAATGCCAACGAGCACCATTTATAACCTTTTTTATCTGAAGGCTGTTAGACGTGATGGCTGGTCGCAAGGATCCTCGTGGTTTGCGCTCAGGTCAAGTTCTGGTTGACAACAAGCTTGTGACCTCTGACCTCCGACTCATGTCTGCTTATGTAGTACAGGTGAGAACGCATTATTCATTCCTTTTAGTCCCTTATTCATCAGGGATCACCACAGCAGAATGAAGCGCCAACTATTCCAGCTTGTTTTACACAGCGAATGCCCTTCCAGCTGCAATCCAGTACTGGGAAACACCCATTAACACACACACACACACTCATACACCATGGCCAATTTAGTTTATCCAATTCATATATAGTGCATGTCTTTGGACTGCACCCGGAGGAAACCCACGCCAACACAGGAAAAACATACAAACTCCACACAGAAATGCCAACTGGCCGGGACTCGAACCAGTGACCTTCTTGCTGTGAGGCAACAGTGCTAACCACTGAGCCACCGTGCCTCCAGAATGCATTATTATCATTTTCTGTTCTTTTGCTTTAGGATCAAACAATTGGTTTAATGCCCGGCATTTTCTTTGCCCTCTGCTTGTGTGTCCATCTAGGATGATGTCCTGATGGGCACTCTGACTGTGCGGGAGAATCTTTTATTCTCTGGAAATCTGCGCTTACCAAGGGAACAGTTTTCCAGTGCTGATAAGAAAAAAAAAGTGGAGAGCATCATCGAGGAGCTTGGACTGGAGGACTGTGCAGACACCAAGGTTGAATTCAGTTTATTATGCATCTTTATTTTAATGTCTAGATATAATTTTGGTAGAAGCAATTTTAAAACTGCAAATATTACTTAATTCCTTTATTTTTGTCTCCAAAAATGTGACTATCGTGATTTCACATATTGAAAATGTAACTTTGATCATGATCATTTTTTGAACAACCAACCAGCAGCCATTAAAAAGTATCTCCTTAGCCTAATTTACAATAGTAAGCTGATAATATTATTTATCCTTGTGTTATTATGTCAAATCAGTAGACATAAAGAACTCATTATCTGTAGTTTGTGGATCATTTATAGCATTTTCTGACAGAAGCTCAAATAAATAAACTTAATGAATTAATTTTAAATGAATGAATGTAATTAAAATGGTATAACAATTACATATTGCAGTGGTTCTCAAACTTTGGTACGTGTACCACTAGTGGTATGCGGACTTCCTTCTGTGGTACGCGGATGAATCAAATATGTCATATGTACATGCTACATATATTTAAATAAATTATCAAAATTATTTATATATGAATATGATGACATAAATGAGGTCTAGGCAACATTTCCAGGTGCTGATAAACCAGGAGTTTTTAGTTTTTTTACTTTTTAAAAACAGTAACCTACCATTTTTAACTTTTAAAAGCACATTTTAATTTAAATGTTCTTAATAATAGGGATATGCCTTGTTTTTGAACCTGAGTTTTAGCTGCTTTACTGGACCTGATACGCTGCTGTATTTTTCAATTATGACGGTGCTTGTAAAGACAACTTTTTTCTGAGGTGGTACTTGATGAAAAATGTTTGAGAACCACTGATATATTAGATTGTAGAAAAATTGAGATCTACAAGTAACACTAATATACATTAAATACACTCATTACAAAGAGGCAAAAGTAAAATTGATATGGTATAATCATTTTTATTAGTTCTTCCTTTTATTTTTGTCCAAAAAAACAACCAATTTTGCTAGTTTAATAAACTGTCCTGTAATAAAAAATATTTATTAACTTTATAATTAAGTTTGTTTTAATGTACATTTTTAACATTTATTTAAATGTATAAATAGTAAAATAGTAACATTTGTCTTTAAAATAGTAATATTTGAAAAAAATCTGGTCAACCCTGTAAAACCGGCCGCACAGTCAAATTAATACAATGAGCTCATTTCACTTTAATATTGAGGAGAGTTCATTGTACTCAATAGACCAAAATGACATGAACATGACTTTTAAACGTTACATAAGCAAAAAGGTTATTCATGAGTAAATTATTTATGAGAATATTTAATAAGCTGAGCTGCAATTATAAAGCATGATCCCTAACTAAATGCATGCATGTCTACACTATAAAATGACTCTCTTTGATAGATGCATTAACACAAGCTATGGCCTCTAAGCACAGCGAGAGTTTTAAAGCTAAACATCCAGTGAAAGCTTAATGTGAGTATTTTCAATTTCATAAGGCTGTTTTTACAGCATGGATGTTGTAATGTAATTACAATACATTCAGTTGAACAGGCTTAAGCGTTCATTTATTTGTTCAAGCGTAAAACAAAAGACCGTTGTAACCACAAGTGCTATCAGTAGCAACAGGTTAGCGCAGAAATTCCATTTGTAAAACTGGGGTAAAATAAACTGTCATATTATAAAGACATAGCAAGGGGGAAATGAGATTTAATACAGGGCTTTTTGTCCAATCTGAGACCCCCTTCATATTGTATATCTAACAAGCAGTGAAGATTTTTTAAGAAATCATATAGCCCATTGACAAACACTTAATCATGAAGATTTGAGTCTGTGTGATGTTTATGCTGCACAAATTAATTTATTTGGTATTTTAAGAAAAAATTGATAAACATTGTGACTGTTAATGAGAGACAGATATGTGCCATATGTACTTGTTTTAGTACAAAATAAAGTTGTACAGTTCTGCTAACATCTTAGAAGATTATTGGTGAAGTTTTTTCCTCGGCGCTGTCGCCACTGGCTTACATGTTTAGAGATCTGTAGAGCTGCGCATAGATGGATTTGCTCTTCAGTGTGTGGACTCTCAGTAGTGATTATGAAACCACACTAAACTAAGCCAAACTGAACTACACTGTTTCAATTTACTATGATCTTCTATGTGAAGCTGCTTCGACACAATCTACATTGTAAAAGCGCTATAGAAATAAAGGTGAATTGAATTGAATTATGCTTTTATTTGAGGAAAGTAGCTAAAATTGTTTTTTGCTTAAATGTTTTGAAGTAATTAGAATTTACCTGAAAATAATGAAGACAGAAAACACACAAAAATGTTTTACAAATATCTTTTTATTTAAGTAAATATTCCCATTGATTTAAAAATACCCCCTGAAAAATAGATGTCACTTAAATATGTTAAGTAGGTATCGTCTTTCTTCCAGATTGGTACTGAGTTTATAAGAGGTGTGTCAGGAGGAGAACGAAAGCGCTGTAGTATAGGAATGGAGCTCATCACGTCTCCTACGCTTCTGTTTCTGGATGAGCCGACCACAGGCCTGGACTCCAACACTGCCAACAGCATCATTGCTCTCCTGCACAGGTACACACTGCTTCCTCCTGAACACTCCTCCTGAAAGAAGATTTTTTTCAACACATTTCTAAACATGATAGTTTTAATAACAAATTTCAATTTAATATCTGATTTCTTTTATTTTTGGCGTGATGGCAATATTTTACTAGATATTATTCAAGATACTAGTATCCAGCTTGTTAAAAGACTTAACTAGTTAATTAGGTTAGATAAAAAATGCTAGGATAATTAGGCAAATCATTGTATAATCATAGTTTGTTCTGTAGACACTCGATAAAATATTGCATATGGGGGCTAATAATATTGACCCTAAAATGTATTTTAAAAAATTAAAAACTGCTTTTATTCTAGCCGAAATAAAACAAATAAGACTTTCTCCAGAAAACTGTGAAACATTCCTTGCTCTGTTAAACATCATTAGGGAAAAATTAAAAAAATAAATTCACAGAAGGGCTAATCATTTTGACTTCAACTGTTCTCCAACACAGCCCTGGCTTAACCTCGGCTTGTTCGGTAACCTGTAGAAATCTTTATGTTCATGTCTTTTTTATCTTGTCTCTTCTGATTCTCTGCTCTGGTTGTCTTTCAGGTTGTCAAGAGGTGGTAGAACGATAATTTTCTCAATCCACCAGCCACGTTATTCAATCTTCAGGCTCTTTGATTACCTGACGCTGATGCATAAAGGAGAAACCGTTTATGCTGGCCCTGCTGGAAAAGCCATCGACTACTTCCAGAGTCTGGGTAAAATGAGTGGTTGGCTGGCCACATAAATATGAATTAAATACTAAAATATTTATAAAATTTATAAAACATATTTATAAATACTAACCCATCTTATATATATATATATATATATATATATATATATATATATATATATATATATATATATATATATATATATATATATATATATATATATATATATATATACATATATATATATATATATATATATATATATATATATATATTTTTTTTTTTTTTTTATTAATACATAAATAGAGCAGTCTTATAATCAAACTGCAAATTATAATAATTAATTCATTTATTATTTTATTGGTTGTAATTTATTGAGATCTTATGCATTGTTTCCTACAATACTCAACATTTTATAGAAGGAAATATACAAAAGATAGAATAATAGAAGAAGAATCAATAAAACAGTTTATAAAAAACTGAATTTAAATATATATCTAAAAACATTTTTACATTTTAATTAATATTTAATATAATGTGTATATAACTATACAAATAACCCTAAATTGAACTGAATATCTTTATAATGCTTACTATACAATAGAAATATATGCTAATATTGAAATATTAAATTCATCCTTAATTAAATTTCACATCTATTGATTAGGTTATGAGCGTGATGCTTTCAACAACCCTGCAGATTTCTTTCTGGACATAACCAATGGAGAGACGGCTACTTCAATGCCAACAGGTATTTCATATACTGTACATGCACTGACTGAGACATCATTGTATATTTATAAATGTTATGTGCTATTGTTACTATATACAAGAAAATACATTTCATATACAAGAATCTGTACTGTCTGTACCTTTGATAAAGATTAATTTTATTGAATTGTTTATAATTCAATAATTTATAAACGAAACTATGCCGTTGTTTAACATTTGATTGTTACATTTCTGTAATACTGTTTGGCTCTCCAGAAAACCATAGAGCATGGTTTATTGTAGGGATGCACGATATATAGAGCATCGATATCGCAATGTTAGCGTCCGCAATAGTCACATCACATGATGTGCAGTGGTGAGTTGGGATTTTAGTTGGCCAGAAGGCACAAGTCAAAACACATGAGATTTGTGGAGGCACTGCAGAATTGAACCATAATAGGGGGAAAGTTTATCATCTGCAAACTGTTTTAAGGCCTGTGATTATTTGAGCATTTTAAGAAAGTTTAAAACATTTTAATAGTGCATAATGAAGTTTAATAAAGATTAATTTTATTTAATTATTTATATGATGAAGACTGTTATTTATTTTAATTTCTGAAAACCATAAAGCACTGTTTATTTCACTTTGCAATTGTGATTATTTATGACTGTGGTTTATTGTATATGCCGTTGAAGTCAGAATTATTAGAAACCCCCTTTTTTTGAATATTTCCAAAATGATGTTTAACAGAGCAAGGACATTTTCACAGTATGTCCGATAATATTTTTTCTTCTGGAGAAAGTCTTATTTGTTTTATTTCGGCTAGAATAAAAGAAGTTTTTAATTTTTTAAAAAACATTTCAAGGACAAAATTATTAGACCCTTTAAGCTATATATATTTTTAATAGTCTACAGAACAAACTATCTGTTTATAAATGTTTTGAAAAAAAATCTTCTTTCTGTTAAACAGAAATTGTGGAAAAAAATAAACAGGGGGGCTAATAATTATGACTTTAACTGTATATACTAACTTACATAAAAATATATTTATATTTCACTCCCCTACAAAATCATCCCAATAAATCTGAAACATTGACTTTCCAAACAAAGCTGTTTAAGTCATCTGGTGAAATTATGTTTATATCGTAATATATATCACAGAGAATAAAATTGCAATGTCAAATATTTTTAATATCGTGCAGCCCTAGTTTATTGTATATTTGTACATGGTATTTTTTAATTGTAGCTTGTATCTTTGCTGTGTTGTATTTATCTTTGTTTGTAGTTTGATTATTGTATTTTTATGCACAATTTACTTTCCTGCTTTCATACAAAATCATCCAAATCTGTCTAAATTAAGAAATTCTTTGCAAATAGAGCTATTTAAGCCACGTGGTAAAGTTGTTTTTATATTGTAAATTCGTAATATACATTTGTAGTCAGAATTATTAGCCCTACTGTTCAATTATAGACTTTTTTTTCCTCAATTTCTGTTCAATGGAAAGATTTCTAATCATAACAGTCTCAATAACTAATTTCTTTAATCTTTGCCATGATGACAGTACATAATATTTTACTAGATATAATATTTTATTCAGATTAAAGTGCAATTCAAAGGGTTAATTAGGTTAATTAGGCAGGTAAGGGTAATTAGGCAAGTCATTGTATAATGATGGCTTGTTCTGTAGCCAAATGAAAAAATACATAGCTTAAGAGGGCTAATAATATTGATCTTAAAATTATTTAAAAAAAATTTAAACTGCTTTTATTTTAGCTGAAATTACCCAAATAAAACTTTCCCCAGAAGAAAAAATATTATCAGAAATACTGTAAAAATGTCCTTGCTGTGTTATGTCACATGTAGGGATCAAAGCAAGGAACAACAGAGACGAGGATCCAAATACAGGTAAAATAAGATTATATTTAAGGCAAACAATGCAGGCATAAGGTCGTACTAAAACAGGAACAACAACAAACAAGGCAATGATCTTAAATACAAACTGGCAAAAACAAGACGCTAGGCCATGCAAGGCATTTACACCAAAGACTCCATGATAAGCTGGTGTGTGTGTGTATGTGGTGCATATATAGTTCGAATGATCAGTGATACAAGTCTCAGCTGAGTGTGTGTCATCAGCCGGGATCAGCATCTGGTGTGTGTGACATTGCCTGAAGGGATTTGTAGTTCTTAGAGGCATCTGTAGTTCACCTCAGTCTATCTGGAAGGGTCACTGGTGATTGTGACATGTTAAGCATAATTTGGGATTTTTTTAAATCACATGACGGCTAATAATTTTGACTTCAACTGTATATCGCAGAAAAGCAAAATATCAGATTTTTCCAATATTCCGCAGCCGTAGATTGAAGGTTTCTCTCTGTTGCTCACTCAGAGAAGTCATTGGCTGAGCTTTACAGAGAGTCTCAGTTCTGCACCGCCGTGGACGAGGAGCTGAAGTGCATCACTGGACCATCAGATTCTTTATCTGAAGCCAAGAGCAAAGCACCATCCTATGTCACGTCCTTTAGCTATCAGGTTTGTTTCATAAAAAACCTTTCAGCGTGTCTGCTTACCAAGTAAATGGTTAACCTGTATGCTGCTAACTTGACCCGCTGTTCAACTTCAGCTCACTGCTGTTATCAGGTCAGCTATGGGTGAAATGAACAGAGAGTCATAAACCTTTATAATTGTTTTCTGCCTTTTGCATTTGTCTGCCTGCATGAGTTAGATAATTCTATATATTTTTTGTAGTTAAAGGTGGTATGTTGGAGGACAGGGCTGAATGTTGTCAGGAATCCTCAGACGTCATATGCTCAGATTGCAATGAACATCCTCTTTGCTCTGCTGATTGGACTTGTCTACTATCAGATGCCTTTAACTCTTCCCGAAGCCCTACAGAACAGGTGCTGCCACATTCACTGTCTATCAGTCCATTTATCTGACTCTCCATGCATATCCTCATCCAGCTGTATGACCACACATCTATCCATATAGACATGCATTCATCCATTTACCCACACATTCATCCACTCATACATTTATACATTAGTATTTATCCACCTTGTATTCGTCCACCCAACTATTTATCCATCCAATTCTTCCATCCATCCATTCACCAAATCAGTTGTTCACTCCTCCATCCATTTGTCCATCTACTCTTCCAATTACTTATACATAGATCCAGCCACACATCCAACCATTCATCCATCCAGACTGCCACTCGTCCATCCATCCACCCATTCCTGTGTTGACTTATCCATCCATTTATCCATCTACTTATCCAATTACTTATACATAGATCCAGCCAGACATGCATCCATGCTGACTCCAACTCATCTGTCCATCCATCCATCCATTTATCCATCTACTCTTCCAATTACTTATACACAGATCTAGCCACACATCCATCCAGTCACCCACTCATCTATCCACTCATCCATTTATCCACCCATTTATGTGTTCACTCATCCATCCATTTATCCATCTATGATCTACTCATCCATTATACATATTCCAGCCACACATTCAGCCATCCAGACATTCACTCATCCATTTACTCATCCATCCATCTATCCAACCATTCATGTGTTCACTCATCTATCCATTTATCAATCTTCTCATCCAGTTATTTATACATGGATCTAGCCACACATCCATCCATTCAGACTCTCACTCATCAATCCGTCCATCCACCTATCCAACCATTTATCCATCCATCCATTCACCAAATCAGTTGTTCACTCTTCCATCCATTTATCCATCTACTCATCCAATTACTTATACATAGATCAAGCCACACATCCATCCATACATCCAGTCACCCACTCATCTATCCACTCATCCATTGATCCACCCCTTTATGTGTTTACTCATCTATCCATTTATCCATCTACTCATCCATTATACATATTCCAGCCACACATTCATCCATCCAGACAATCACTCATCCATTTATTTACTCATCCATCGATCTATCCAACCATTGATGTGTTCACTCATCCATCCATTTATCAATCTTCTCATCCAATTATTTATACTTGGATCTAGTCACACATCCATCCATTCAGACTCTGACTCATCAGTCCATCCATCCACTTATCCAACCATTTATCCATCCATCCATTCACTAAATCAGTTGTTCACTCTTCCGTTTATTTAGCCATCTACTCATACAATTACTTATACATAGATCCAGGCACACATCCATCCATTCAAATTCCCATTCATCCGTTCATCCATCCAACCATTTATCCATCGATCCATTCACCACCCCTCATCCACTCATCCATCTATCTGTAAACTCATACATTCATTGAGTTATCCATTGATCCACTTATCCATTTATCCATCCACTTATCCAATTACTTACACATAGATCCAGCCACACATCCATCCATTCAGACTCTTACTCATCCGTCCATCCACCCATCTAACCATTTATTCTTCCATCCATTCACCAAATCAGTTGTTCACTCATCCATCCATTTATCAATCTACTCATCCAATTACTTATACATAGATCCAGCCACACATCCATCCATTCAGACTCTTACTCATCCGTCAATCCACCCATCTAACCATTTATTCTTCCATCCATTCATCAAATCAGTTGTTCACTCATCCATCCATTTATCAATCTACTCATCCAATTACTTATACATAGATCCAGGCACACATCCATCCATTCAAATTCCCATTCATCCGTTCATCCATCCAACCATTTATCCATCGATCCATTCACCACCCCTCATCCACTCATCCATCTATCTGTAAACTCATACATTCATTGAGTTATCCATTGATCCACTTATCCATTTATCCATCCACTTATCCAATTACTTATACATAGATCCAGCCACACATCCATCCATTCAGACTCTTACTCATCCGTCCATCCACCCATCTAACCATTTATTCTTCCATCCATTCCCCAAATCAGTTGTTCACTCATCCATCCATTTATCAATCTACTCATCCAATTACTTATACATAGATCCAGCCACACATCCATCCATACAGACTTTCACTCATCCGTCCATCCATCCATCTAACCATTTATTCATCCATCGCTCCATTCACCAAATCAGTTGTTTACTTATCCATCCATTTATCCATTTACTGATCCAATTACTTATACTGTACATAGATCCAGCCACACATCCATCCATTCAAACTCCCACTCATCCATTCATCCATCCAACCATTTATCAATCCATCCATCCATCCATTTACCAGTGCATTTAATCACTCATCCCTCCATTTGTCCATCTACTCATCTATGGCCTTATCCATCCATAGTTCCAGCCACTCATGCATTCATTCCTCCATCCAGGCATCATTTATCTGTTCATCCCTCATCCACTCATCCATCCATCCGTCAACTCGTATATTCATCGAATCATCCATCGATCCACTCATCCTTTTAACCAGCCACAAAACAATCCAAAAAATCATTCATTTATCCATCCACTCATCCATTCATTTATCAAACCACTCATCTACCATTCCGTTCTTCATGTCTGTGTGTTTGCAGGATTGGCGCTTTCTTCTTTCTCATCATCAACATGGTTTTTGGCAACTTGTCAGCAGTAGAGCTCTTCATTAATGAGCGAGCAATTTTTGTGTGAGTATGATTTTATCTGCCTTGCTTATAATTGTATTTGATGTTTCTAATGTTTCATTGATACAACATTATAGTATATATTAATATTTTGAATTAGCTTTTCATTTCATATTTGATCATTTGGGCATTTCAATTTAAACATTATTTCAGATTTTTTTCAGATTTTTTTTGACAGATTAAATAGAAACAATAACACTTACATTTATGTGTTCGAATTATATGTGCATGTTATGTATGGATGTAAACAAACTTCACTTGTTCATTTGGCTTACTTTTTTAAAAAGTTTTTTTTTTTCTGTATGTCTGTGTCTGTTTTAGGCATGAAAACTCTGGAGGATATTACCGTACATCTGTGTATTTCCTCTCCAAGGTGTTCGTGGATCTGTTACCAAATCGCATTGTCCCGATTTTAATCTTCTCCAGCATTTCCTACTACATGATGGGTAAAACAATCTCTGTTTCACATAAAACTGTGATTAAACGTCAACATCAGCACATGCTGTTTTCTAAATAAGCATTAATATGCACAGTAATTGAATATATGTATTTGTAAACAGGGTTGAATCCAGCATTCACATCCTTCCTGTGCTTCGCGTTGACCATGTCTCTGGTCAGTCTAGCAGGAGTGAGTTTGGCCTTTCTGGTCAGTGCCAGCGTGAGCACTTTCGCCATGGCCAACATCCTCGTCGTCTTGCCTTTCGTCTTCATGATGGTCAGATTTCAAATGCTTACTTGCTCATAAGCTTTTTACAAGATGTAAAATAAGTCGCTGATGTCCCTAGAACAGGGATGGGCAAACTTGATCCTCGAGGGCCGGTGTCCCTGCAGAGTTTTGTTCCAACACTAGTCAAACACACCTGAGCAAACTAATCAGTGTCTTCAAGATCACTTGAACTCTATAGGGAGGTCTGTTTGAATAGGGTTGGAGCTAAACTATGCAGGACTCTGGCCGTCCAGGATCAAGTTTGCCCACACCTGCCCTAGAATGTGTATATGACAAATAATGTTTTTTAACTGCCTGTTTTAGGCTTTGATACTAATCGTGCTATTTTGGTGGCTGTCACTTTAAATTCAAATGAGATTGTGCTCTTTTCAAAAGAGGGCGGAGCTAAAATTACTATGTGTTAGCACAGTGGCAGATTTAAAAACAAGGATAACATCATATGCTAATGAGGGAGAGATCGTCACTAATGGGCGGGGCTTTCCCCGCTGATGACATATACAAAGGGAGAATGTCGATCAAAGTGTTTCTGCAGGCTATTTTATCAAGTGTGGGTATAAAAATTTTAATTATAACATTTTTACTATTAGAAGCTGGCTATATTAACACACTGTTGACACACAACTGTGCTTAAATTCGTTATAAAAGTGATTTTTGTTTAACAGGCCCCCTTTAATTTGGTTCAGTGTTGGCTTTAATTAGTTACAAAGTAGCTATTTACTGTATTAAATTACTTTCTTCACTTAAAATGTAAAGTAAGGGATTCATTTTAATAATTTAAATACAGTAACTTATAATTTACTTGCCTAAATGTAACTTGTGCCTAATGTGCCTAATGTTACTTTTGTAATGAAGGAAACGCTGAGAGCAGACTTGCGGATCCATGTGCAGTTTATTAATCAAGGTCGTGCAGGCATGGGTCATAAACAAGGGCAAAACAGTATCATAAGGGTAATCCAATAATCATGATCAATTTACAGGTGAGAGGTCAGACTAGGCGGCAATGGGTCAAGACAAGAAGCAAGGCAAGAATCAAAACACACAGGAAAACAAACCAGGAGCACTGCTTTGTAATGTTCAGGATAGAAACAAGACTCTGCATTGGGTGAATGAAGGAGAGGTGTATTTAAAGTCCTGTAATCAGTGTAGATGAGCAGCAGCTGTGTGAGTGTCCAGATTATTGTCAGCTGTTGCAAGAGTTGATGAGCTCAGGGGGTTCTGGGCGTTGTAGTTCGTTCAGCAGTAAGCTCTCTGGCAGCTAGCTCTCTGCAACTCTCACATGGTCGCCCACTGAAGCTAAGCAGCGCTGCGCCTGGTCAGTACCTGGATGGGAGACCACATGGGAAAGCTAGGTTGCTGCCGGAAGTGGTGTTAGTGAGGCCAGTAGGGGGTATTCGGCCTGCTGCCTGTGACCCAATGCCCCGGTGTAGTGAAAGGGACACTATACTGCTTAGTGAGTGCTGTTGGATAAGACGTTAAACCGAGGTCCCGACTCTCTGTGGTCGTGAAAAATCCCAAGTTTGCTCACTGGCCTCTGTCAATCATGGCCTCCTAACCATCCCCATATTATAATTGGCTTCATCACTCTGTCTCCATCAATCAGCTGGTGTGTGGTGTGCAGTCTAGCGCAATAATTATTATTATTATTATTATTATTATTATTATTATTATTGTTATTATTATTTTTAGAAGTAGTAGTCGTAGGGCGACGTACTAGGTAGTACTGTCGCCTCACAGCAAGAATGTCGCTGGGTAGCTGGTTCAAATCTCGGCTCAGTTGGTGTTTCTGTGTGGAGTTTGCATGTTCTCCCTGTGTTTGCTTGGGTTTCCTCCGGGTGCTCCGGTTTCCCCTACAGTCTAAAGACATGCAGTACAGGTGAATTGGGTAGGCTAAATTGTCCGTAGTGTATGAGTGTGTGTGTGTGTGTGTGTGGATGTTTCCCAGAGTTGGGTTGCGGCTGGAAGGGCATCCGCTGCGTAAAAAAAATGTGCTGGATAAGTTGGCGGTTAATTCTGCTGTGGCGACCCCGGATTAATAAATGAACTAAGCCGACAAGAAAATAAGTAAATTGTAGTAGTAGTAATCTCCCTTATAGAAAACCTTGCTGGCAATTGCAACAAACTACAGGAAGGTAAACGCCAGCAGAGACAACACCACTGGCAATCATATATTTTGTTGTTTAAATATACACTGCTTAAAAAAATAAAGAGAACACTTAAACAACACAATGTAACACAATTGTCTGAGCAGTATATTTAGCTAATTTTTTTAGTTGAATTCTAATTTCAACTAAAGATTATATTTATCATGACAATTGCATATGCTTAAGATAAAATGAATCGAGAGATTATATTGTTTAACTTCAGAGAATCCTCAAGAGTATCTTGACATTCAGGTATTTAACATAATAATTCAGTTTTTTCAAATAGAGAAGGTTAGCATTATCTGACAAATAAACATGCGGAAGAAACAATAAAATGTTTTAGAAAATTAATGTCAATATATGTGTATGCAATATGGTGTCATTACTTTGAAACATTTGATTGAAGTTTTCATTTTTTAAAACAATCTAAAAGGTTTGACTCAAATTTAATGAATGTTTTTCAATATCTGTTGTCTGTGTGTTTAGATTTATGTGGAATTTGGTTGTGACATGTTTATTTAAGGTTATCAGAATTTATGTACAATGGGCTTTTACAGGCATAATCAGAGGCCAGTTTTAACAAAAATTATGCAATGGGTAGGCCCAGACAAAATCTGCGCGCGCAGAATTCTGCAGATTTTCCACAGAATTCCGCAGATTTCTGCAGATTTTTAGCCCATCATTAATTTTGTTTATTTACTTAAGTAAACGTGTCAATCTAAATTTATTCAGTTTTTATTCAGTAATTTATTACTTTTTATTTCATATATCAAGGTTTTAGTTATGATACTCTGCTGGATACTCCCAAAATAAATCTGCAGAAATCCGTAGATTTTTACCAAAATTCTCAGCAGAAATAGCAAAAAACATCCGCAGAATCCGTCTGGGTCATTATCCAAATACAACATCAAATAATAAACATAAGTAGCAAATAGGTTAACTAAATATTTACCAAATTAATTAATAAATACAAGAATATTTAAGGGCAAAATAATTATAAAGAAATTATAGTAATCCTTAAAAAGAAGAAAGTAATAAATAAATAGATGGAGATAAAGAAAAAGAACAAGAAAGGGAGACATCATACCATCTAGAAGTACTAATTTTGGTGTTATGTGGATTTTTAGTTTTGTGTCAAGTAATTAAAACTAAAAATAAAAACTGAGATCTACATTAAATACAATTTCTTTCTTCACTCAAAAAACACCAAACTGTTCAAACTACTTATTTAAAATGAGCTGAAACAACACAATTTCTGATTTTTTTGTGACAACTTATTTGTTCAATCCACTTAAATCCATAACACTTAATAAGTTAACTTAATTCCTTTATGTTGTCCCAGTTTTTTACATGTTTTTCTTTCTCTCTTTCAGGTGTTCGGAGGGTTTCTGGTGAATCTGAACTCCATGCTCAACTGGTTGTCCTGGCTCAAGTGGATCAGTATCTTCAAATATGGACTTGATGTAGGAAGCATTTCATTTTAAATGCGTAAAGTACCATGCATAAGAGTTTATATAAGAATGATTTAATATATAAGAGTGCAGAAAAGGATGTTTTATGCATGTTTACACATTATGAGATTATACAAACACAGCACTGATTATAACATGGTTATGTGTTGCTCTTTTGTATAGGCTGTGACTATAAATGAAATGAAAGGGCTGGTCCTCTATAGTGGCAATGCTACGTAAGTAAAACTGTATAAAGATAACGTAATGGCAGTTCACTGAAAGTTCAGGGTTTTATAACTCAGCTGGACGACCTTCTGCATATCATAACAGATAAGCACACTACTGATCAAAACATGACCTTAGTATGATAAAGTTTATTGAATTAAATGATTGAAATTGAATTAAATGATTGAAATGAATGATCTGCCATTTCAGATGACTTTATTAATCAGTGATTTAAGTCATTGCAGAGATGTATGGATGCAGTCGTCCGAGCACATGGGAGTCATACACAATATTCATTCTTTCTCCTCTGCAGCATGACTTTATATATTCTTTACTGGACATTATTTCTGGGAAAAGTGACTGACTTTTGTCTAAGCAAAGTCAGACCTTACTGTCCTAATTAAATAATGAAAAATCAAGACGTGATCATATTTTATTTTGATAAAATAAGTGTAATCTAGAGGCCTTTGCCTTTCATTAAGCCACTTCTGATACCAAATGATCAACTAGAAGTCAAGTTAGTATTTGTTGTTCCTAAAACTTAGATAGGCGACAAGAATTTTGTCAGGTAGTTTACATTTTATAGCAACTACCAATTGTTTACATCTGTTTGTTTGTTTGTTTGTTGTCCTCCTGTTGGTGTTCAGACTGCCAGGAGAGCTGTATCTAGAGTCTCAGGGCATCGACTACAGTGTGTGGGGTTTCTGGCAGAATGAGGTGGCCCTTCTGGGAATTGTACTGGTGTGTATGACATTTGCATACATACAGTTACGCAGGATCAACCGCTGGAAATGACGAACAAACCATCCATAACCGTTTCCCCCCATACACTGAAATTTCATCAAAGGTTTATTTTTGTAAACCAGCTCTGTTGTATCTCTGATTCACTGTTTGCAGATTCTAATACTTGAATTTAATAGCTACTCTTGACTTATTTTGTAAACTAGAATTACTAAAAAAATTATATATATTTTTTATTTAAAAGTTATTTTATTAAGTTATTTAATGTTTAATACCGAACTGAAGTAGTGAAAGAATGATTAGTTAATTATTAAATAACTATTTTATTATTTTTCTGCCAAAAACACTATTTTTTTCACACAATTGCACAAAATTTCACAGTTACTGAGATATAGTGTGATGTAAAAAAAATAAATGTTCTTAATTCTCCATGGGGAATGTATGATGCACTGCAAAAAGATGCATGGTGATGAAATTGGGTCTAGCTTAATTACAATTTGAATCTATCTATCTATCTATCTATCTATCTACCTATCTACCTATCTATCTATCTATCTATCTATCTATCTATCTATCTATCTATCTATCTACCTATCTACCTATCTATCTATCTATCTATCTATCTATCTATCTATATAATGATCAATATGTTTGTTTTTTACTACAATGTGTTGCCTATTAGTGAGTAAATTAACCCATTGAGGTCTATTTTGAGTCAAAGAAGATATGTAAAAGCTTTTTAAAATGTATAGCCCTTAATAAAGAAACAAATTATGCAAATGCTATATAACACCTCCAAATGCACAATATGTTTGAGACTTAACCTTTAAAAAAAGTTCATATTTCTTATTGCTTATGCTTATGCTTATTTCACTCGAGGTGTCAAAAAATAATAATGTAAATAATGTGTAGCCCTTTCCCCATATCTCACATATCTGAAAATGAAATTCGTAAGGATGCATATGACTGCATGTATTGCTAGTATTGACCATTCATTGGACATTTTTGTTATCTGGAAGTGAAAGTTTATGTATAAACTTAGTAAATAAATGTATTTTATTTAAAAACTTTACTGACTAATGTTTGTTATTGTTGTCATTTTGTTAGAAATAAGAATGTGCATTATTGTATACATTTTTATGAACCATTTTTGAGCAAATTAATATTAATTAAAATAAGTGTCATTTAATTACTGATTATTATGGAACTCTCAGATAATATGCTCTGATAAATGTGAAACAATTATATTATCAAATAAATGTACTCCTTTATTATTAAATTCCGCTTATTTCTCAGTTTTTGTATTTATAGAAAATGTGGGAAATGCAGTAATAGCATGGTAAACAATTGAGAAAATATTTTACCATTGACTGAGGAGCTGCTTATTACATACTAATACTATGTATTAAAATTAAAATTAAAAAAACGTACCAAACACGTGGTTAGCAATATCACCTCACAGCAAGGAGGTCGCTGGTTCGAGCCCCGGCTGGGCCAGTTGACGTTACTGTATGGAGTTTCCATGTTCTCCCCATGTTCGCGTGGGTTTCCTTCGGTTTTCTCTAATGACATGCAGTTGTGCAGTTCAGGTGAATTGAAGTGTATGTGTCAATGAGTTTCCCAGTACTAGGTTGCAGCTGGAAGTGCATCCGCTGTGTAAAACATGTGCTGGATATGTTGGTGGTTCATTCCACTGTGGCGATCCCTGGTTAGTAAAGGGACTAAGCCGAAGGAAATGGAATGAAAAACGTGAAATATTTGGAGCGTTATGATAAGGGTGAGCCGCTAGAGGGCAGCACCGCTCTGAATCACTGTAGCTGCGTCCCAAATGGCACACTATACACTATGCACTCATGCACTATGTACTTATGCACTTACACACTCAACAGTATAGTATATGTATGTAGTGTCGTCCCAAATGGCACACTAATGTTTTTTTACTAAGCGGAAATTCAAACCGTTTCCCTGATGACGTTTGACGGACGCCAAATCAGTGAAATAAACGACCGAATTATCAAATATTACCTGCCGTGAGTATAACCGCATTCACCATCGGGAGGCGCTATAATCACTCTCGTAGAAGAATTTTGTTTTCACCATCCAAAATAAATAAAGTTATCCAACATGTGCGTCCGATAGCTCCGCCTCTTCCGCTACGTAGGCAAACCTGCGGTCGTTGAGTGCGTGAAGTGTCCATCATTACACACTTTATTTTAGCGGATGAATGAGTGCATCATCCGGGTAATTTAAGTGCACTTATTATTTTTAGAGTTTTCAGTGTGAACACACTACTTACACTATTTATACTACAAAATGGCGTAGAATAGTGCATAAGTATGCGATTTGGGACGCAGCTTGTGACACATCGCACATGCTCATTAATGTCTTCCTCTGCCCTAATATTAATTGTGTAGCTTTGGAAGTTTGAACAATGACATTATCCTTTAACATGTTCAAAGTTTGAAAGTGAGTTGAAATTCATTTTTGGTCAATTAAAGGAGCCTTATAGCCTATGTTCCTATGGATATTTTCACATTAAGGAAAATGCTATTCACGAAAGTACAACTTGTAACTATATTCAATCTGAAGTCATTTATACTGGCTTCAGGAATCTTGAACTCTCTGCTCAACTTTTTAAGTGAAATCTGTCGTGTTCTCTCTCTGTCCTCGTTTTTGCTATTGTGTCTCACAGAAAGCAGCTGCAGACACTTCTATGTTATATCCACAAAATATTCACATCTGTTAGATATTAGTATCTCTGTGTGTGTGTGTGTGTGTGTGTGTGTGTGTGTGCGTGCGTGCGTGCGTGCGTGCGTGCGTGCGTGCGTGTGTGTGTGTGTGTAGTCTCCTTGTCTACATTCAGACCCAGAGCCACACTGTCAGCGTAAAACTCTTGGAAAATCTCCAGGGTTGATGTGCACAGAGCACATAAAGAAAGACAAAGAAGAAACAATAAGTTCTCATATTTCCTTTAGAAAATGTAAGTTTTTACTCATCTCCAAGTTAAAAATGCATTTCTTTTATTCATTAAATATTACATTAAAACTTCAAAGTAATCACTCTTTAAAGGTGCCACAATATCAAGCCACAAGCAAAATGTGACATTTATTTACAGAACTTATTTAACACGCTTATCTCTATAAGATGTTTAGCCTTCTAATGTTTCTCAATGTTGTTTTAAGTGCAAATTCGATGTTAGTAGCCTACTGTGATGCATGTGTTGTGGCACTGTGACAGGATTAAGACTGGAAAGAAATCCCAGCAGTCAACTTTATCGAATGAAATGAGTGTAGATAACTCAAAATGTTAATTCTACTCATATGAAAAGAGTTTTGAACTCAGTGTTGAAGCTAATGAGTTAATTAAATACCTCATTACCTTAACCTAAATGGAGTAAGTTCACAGTACTCATATAGATTCGTTTTTTAAATCAAATGGTTTGAGTTGTCTAAACTTATTTGTTTTACTGTGCTCAAACTGCTTTGTTTACTCAAATGGATTGAGTTCACAGTACTCATTAGGATTTGTTTTTTTACTTGAAAGGTTTGTTGCAGTCGGTTTCCTCAAATGGTTTGAGTTACTTTAACTTTTTTGGTTTTACGGTGTTTTAATTATGTGACAAACTTAAAGACACAGTATTTACTTTCTGACATTTTTATTAGTTTCATTGTCATATCCAGTTGCAAATGACACATGATGAGAATAAAATAAGAAATAAAAAAGTTCAAATAACTGCATTTTCACACCTTAGGGGATCTGACCTCACCAAGGAAGGCACAAACACTTCATCTTAATCTTCAACACTTTCACATGAAAAAGCTTTAGCCGAAAAAGAGTGCAAATCAACATGTTATCAACAATAAGCCGGAGTTACATTAAAAAAGCGCTTTAGTTCCTGTAGCCAGAACAGCGCTGAATACAAATCTTGTCATTGAAAATGGCCACAAACACTACAAAATTGACAGACAAATGATTTGCTTTTGAGTGTGTGTGTGTGAAGTCTGAATCTCTCTAATGTGAACGTGTATTTTTCTCCTGTATTTTCTGAGCCGTGATGCTGCTATTTAAATCCTGGCCTCATTACAGACGCCAGCTCACGCTAAAAATGTTTTTGGGAGCAAGAACAAAACCTATGGCCAAAGGCTCAGCTTATGAGACACGGATCTACGCCCATTTTACATAAGCAAATTATTGTCCATTATGTAACAACATCTAGATTTTGAATTTCTTAGAAGCAGCTATTGAGTAAAATAAGGCCATGAAAGCCCCTGGGAGGCAGACACAGTGACTTTGCATGAGCCTATATACAAAGTGCATTCAATTGCTTAGTCTAAATTAGTATTTCTCCTTTTTAGGAACTTATCTTAATCTGTTATTGAGCAAAGCACATTAGGAGTTTGTGTGACAATAATTTTAAAAATACTATAGCTTGTGCTTCTCTTAAAGGGCCAGTTTACCTAAAAGTAAACATTCTGTCATCATTTCCTCGCATCATTCCAAACATGAATTAACTTTCTTTATTTGAAACAACAACAAAAAACGATTATGGAAAAAAGTATGGAGCCAGATCAGTCTCAAAAATAATATGCAAAAACAAAACTCATACTGTACATGCACAGCATAATTCAAATCTACAAAATCTAGTTAGTAATTTCAAAACACAATTCGTAAATACACAAATCCAATTTGTAAAAATCTAAACACAATTTTACAAATCATACTGTAAATGTTTCATAAAATCATAAACACAAATAAATATTTCCCCAACTGAATTGGATGTGTGCATTTACAAACAAATTGTGCTTAGAATTTACTAATTGGGTTTGTATATTTATGAATTGTGTTTAAAATTTTGTAATTATGTTTTGCATAGTTATGAACTGTTTTGATTTTACGAATTGTGTTTTGTGTATTTACGAATTGTGTTTTCAATTTACGAATTGGATTTGTGTATTTATAAATCATGTTTTGAATTTACGAATTGGATTTGTGTAGTTAAAAACTGTGTTTTGAATTTATGAATTGCGTTTTCTTCATTTACAAACCGTCTTTTGAATTTATGAATTGTGTTTTGTGTATTTACGAATTGTGTTTTGAATAGATTAGTTGTGTTTTGTGTATTTACGAATCATGTTTTGAATTTATTAATTGGATTTGTGCATTTAAGAGTCGTGTTTTGAATTTACAAATTATGTTTTCGAGTTGTGTTTTGTGTATTTATAAATCATGTTTTGAGTTTACAAATTGTGTTTTGAATTTACAAATTGTGTTTTGAATTTACGAATTGTGTTTCGTGTATTTACGAATCATGTTTTGAAAATATGAATTGTGTATTTACGAATCATGTTTTGAATATATGAATTGTGTATTTACGAGTCGTGTTTTTAATTTACGAATTGTGTTTTGTGTATTTACGAATAGTGTTTTAATTAGATTAATTGTGTTTTGTGTATTTACGAATCTTGTTTTGAATTTATTAATTGGATTTGTGTATTTACGAGTCGTGTTTTAAATTTATGAATTGGAATTGTGTATTAAAGAATTGCCTTTTAAATTTACAAATTACATGTTGTAAATGTGAATTGTGTATGAATTGTATTTTGCAAACGTATTATTTTTGAGACTGATCTGGCTCCATAAAAGTAAACATATCTTGATTTGTGATTCTCAAGTTTGAAAAAAAAATAAAAACAGAATGTAGATTTCTGAGTGAACTACCCCTTTAAACCAAAGACAAATCGTTTGTGCATTTGTTTGTACTTTTACATTCAAATGTGTTTTTGTGCCTTGAAGACTTATGTTGAGATGTAATGTAATTGTGTTGTGTGATATGACGACTGTCTGCTTGTGCTATAGAGGATGTGTTTAGTTGGAATATTGAAAGGAGCACACATTTGTTTGTCTGTGTGGCTTCATAAATGTTTCTCAGTATTCCCACAATGTGGCATCAGCAATCCCCTGAGCGCTGGCTTTCAGCACTCCAGCGTGGTCTCCCTTAAGATATTTGCCCTCCTTCGTCTTAATAGCCACTTTGTTAAAATCGCAGAACTCAAAGTGGAAATAGACAGGAGCCGCACCACTGCTGATCACAGAGCCGTCTGACTCCACCGTCCAGTACTTCCCCACGGAGTCTGAAAATCACACAAACACACAATTTAGGAAAACTCGTAGGACTCTAATAAAGCAACAACAACAAAGGGGGGTGGCAGCACCGTGGCTCAGTGGTTAGCACTGTTGCCTCACAGCAAGAAGGTCGCTGGTTCGAGTCTAAGCTGGGCCAGTTGGCATTTCCTCAAATATGGCGAATGCAGTAATATATATCCATTCAGCTTCTTTAAGGAACTGTTTTTACATCTTACCAGCTGTCAGTAATGCATCAGGAGTAACTGTTGGCTCTGTCGCTCACCTCTGAGGCTGTATGCATTGTTGTTGTACTCTAACTGGAAGACATCATAGGAAGATCGGTTGGAATCGAGTGTACCGGTTCCTTGTTTGCGGCAGCCAATAAAGCCATGTTCACCGCGCAACACAATCAGCGGCCTGTTGATGAGCTTCAACACAAACTCCTCCTGCTCGCCTGTAAAACAACATCAGCTACTCTACACACAGTACATCGTTACCTATGATCAATATCTGAAATATATGTGTGAAGCCGGTCAGACCTGCAGAGTCCACCGCGGCTGCCAGCTGTCCGTTCTTCTTGGCTGCCAGATATTTGCCATTGCTGGCCTTCAGTGCCACTTTTGAGCCCTTCCACTCCAGGTCGAAGAAACAACTGGGAGATCTGGATATGAGCAATAATTAGATTTAGTCTCTAATGTACATTTCTGGTCAACTGAGTGATTATTACTTTGAATAAATGTATCTGAAAAAGTCTCTATATAAGTCAAGGTTTTTATTTTACTTTCTAAAGTATAATGTAGTTCAGTGTGAAAGGGTGTACACTTTTCTCTAATATTTTAGATCTGAAAACATTAAATATGTTATGCTGATCTAGTGAATTTTGGCAAGTAATATATATATATATATATATATATATATATATATATATATATATATATATATATATATAGATAGATAGATAGATAGATAGATAGATAGATAGATAGATAGATAGATAGATAGATAGATAGATAGATAGATAGATAGATAGATAGATAGATAGAAATGACAGTTTTGTCTGGTTCTTGAATCTGATTGGTTGATAGCCGTGTAATATTCTGCAGCAATAACAGCACTCATACAGCCTCCTCACCCTTCTGTATTACTCTGCCCACGTAGAGTGACAGCAGATCAGTAAACTCACAACAGTTTGGACAACATAATGTACTTTTAAGGCTTTTTAGGCAAGAATGTAGTTGTTTAGATTGCAGCTATGCAGTTTATTTATAGGAATAGTGCCTGTTTTAAATATTTAACATTTCGGAGATACAGTGTGTCGGCATACATCAGCCTGTCATACTGAGCAGAGCAAAGACGGTTGACGTTCCACCAAAAGATGGCGACAGAGACAGCATAAGTCCTAATGCTGTGTTCGCACCAGACGCAGAACGCGCAAACAAATTGCGATATTCGCGGGTAAATAGACGCATGAACATTTTGAGATTACTCGCTTCATTTGCGCGTTTCAGCGGCTCTTCAGACTGAGCCGAGACAAGTTTGAATAACTGTTGTCTTGTGTTGGAAGGAGGATTTCCTCCTGGGACACCAACAACAGGCTCCATGCCATAATCATGCCCATACAAGACAAAGCTCATAATTGGTTAACGCGGCGCAAATGTAACCACAGAAGTTCAGAAATTTTAACTTGAGCGATTTGCCCAAAATGCGTGATAAACATATTATGTGCATCAATCGTGCAAAACGTTCGACTCGCTCACTTCGCTCTCGCTGTTTGTTTTTGAATGCGTCTCCTGTTTCCGTTACTGCAGAGTAAAAATAAAGAAAGAAGAAATGCCTGCATGTGTTTTTTCTTATTGCAAACACAACAGTTATCTGGTAGTGTTTGTGTTGCTTTGGCTTTTTTGCGGTTCATTATTGTGATCTAATTGTAACAGTGAAATACTGGGAAATGTCTCTAGACTGATGGCATTTCATGACGTTCAGCCTTATAATCTTGAAATATGAGCAAAATCCCCTGTTTTATCATCACATTAGACATTACGCTTGAGAATCATTCAAATACTAGCTTTAAAGTGACGTTGGTGAATTAGTTACGGTTTCTGTTGTTCTGACGTCAGCTGCATGGAATGGCGGAAGAAAGTAGTTCCTCATACAAAAGATTTATTATGACTCTCCGTGTTTGATTTTCTTTTTTATCCACGCGATTATGTCGTCGAACTGTTCTATAAATGCAATATCACACTCGTAGCAGTGCAATATGGCTGTGTATCGTCACTGGTGGGACACTAATGCATGCTTCCCACCAGTGACGATATACAGCCGTATCGCACAGCTGTGAGTGTGATATTGCTCATATATGGCTATGGAACTCACTTCCACTAATCTTAGGAGCAGTGATAGTCTTCACAATTTTAATTCACGTCTAAAGACCCATCTTTTTAAGCAGGCTTTTACTTAACTTTTTTTTAAATCATGTTTTTATTATGTTCTTTTATGTTCGCTATTGTGTTTTAACTTGTTTGGTCAATGATTGTTTTAGTAATGTTTAATTTGTTTAGCATGTCTGCTGATGCTTATTGTAAGGCGACCTTGGGTGTCTAGAAAGGCGCCGTTTACAAATGAAATTAATTATTATTATTATTATTATTTATCTCCAGTTGAGGTCTCTTATTTCTGTTTCTGCTTAATGAAAAGATTATTTTCTACACATTTCTAAACAATATTTTTTAATGACTAATTTGTAATAATTGATTTCTTTTATCTTTCCCATGAGGAGAGTACATAATATTTGTCTATATATTTTTGAAGATACTATAGTATTCAGGTTAAAGTGCAATATAACACCGTTACTAGGTTGATAGGCAAGTTACAGTAATTTGGCAAATCATTATATCACAAAGGTTTGTTCTGTAGACAATTGAAAAAAATATATTGTTTAAGGGGGCTAATAATATTGACTAATATTTAAATAAAAACTGCTTTTATACTAGCTGAAATAAAACAAATAAGACTTTCTCCAAAAGAAAAAATATTATAGAAAATAATGTGAAACATTCCTTGCTCTGTTAAACATCATTTGGGAAATATTTAGAAAAGAACAAAAAATTCACAGGAGAGAAAATATATATATATATATATATATATATATATATATATATATATATATATATATATATATATATATATATATATATTCTTTAAAAATGTATATATGTTATCAGTATGACATTTTACTCAAAACTTGTTATTGGCAAATCCCGAGAACTGATAATAACTTTGAAGTCATTTCCACAGCTATATATAGTTTAAAACTTGAGTAAACAGATGATCAGACAAACATCTCCGCAAGACAATCTGTTCTGTTATTCTGTTTATTAATTCCTTTTGCCATATGGTTCAGTCAGCAAGCGATCTTGAGACTGGCTAATCTGCTTTTCTACCCTGTGTTTGGTCTTCTAGTATGCTTCTTACTTGGTTAAAGCAGAGCACTGGATGGCTCCACTCGAGGTGAGACTCCAGTATCTCCCATTGAAAGACCTGAAGGCACAGCGCTTGCTCTCTCTGTCCATCTCCATCTGAAACACCTCCTGATCAGACTCCTCATCCTGATTGGCTGATAAATCAACTCCTGAAATACAGTGGGGTTTCAGAGGGAGTGATGTTAATCACCGATGATAAAAAGCACACAGGTGTTCTCATAAAAACTGGAAATGTACTTCTGTGACATTCAAGAACAGGATAACCTCATTTGCATCCTGAACTATAAGTTTTTCCTGAAGGGTGACTTTGTTGTATTAAATAATATTTAGATTTCTTTCAATCCTGTTAACATAACAAATTACACTCTTTTAAACTAAATCTTTATTGGCACTGGAGGTTAAAGAACTTTTAAAGAACCATCCACAGAACTGTTATAGTACACAAAAGGTCCTTTAAAGTGGAAATAAATTACTCAGAAAATGTTGTTTACACTACGGAAAAGGTTATTTTTGGAAGTAAAGAAAAATACAATTAAAAAATATTGCAAAGATAAAGTTAAAGAAATGGGAGCAGAAAAAAATAAATGGGAGCAGAATAGAGGAAGGGTTGTTGAAATTCTGATGATGTATTTCTGCATAATGCACACATTTACTGTAAAAGCACAGTTAAAATGTACATTCTTTATTGTTTTCAGTGATGATCCATCGAACGTTTCTTTTCCACATTTAGTTATTTTTAGATTAAAGGATTCTGGAAATATTTCTTTAAAATAATGTCCTTTCATGAACTTGAACTTTCAAATACTCAAATACTAACATTGTTCTGTGATAATCGGCTCGACTAAAAAGAAAAACGTAACAGTGAAAGGTTTAAGAGTGTACAAGAAGTTATGAACAATTTGGTTTTGTTTATTTTTATTATTATTATTTGCGTTTTAAGAGGTATTTTTAATCTTTTGCGTTTGATATCTGCTACATGAGACAATTATGCTGAAACCTAAGTAGAAGTGCAGCTAAATGGAAAGTTTTAGAAGAAATAAAGAGCAGCCTGCTGTTTTAGATTACTTTCTAAATCCAAACATTTGCATAAGTTAAAAAAACGCTCCATAAGCATTATTAATATTAATGAGTGAGCATGCTGCATTGGCATCTCACCCTGGCGCATGGAGATGTTTCTGTCATTGCTGGCGGTGAGCACCACTTGCCCGTGACTTTGCTCGAGGACAAACAACTCATCTTTGCCAACACGCGCGCTCCTGCCCGACTTCATGGTCCCGGTGGGGCCCGTAGGCGCGATGTATTTTCCCGTGGCGTCTCGGAAAGCCACCTTACCCGCGCGGAATTCCAGCGTGAAGCCGGTGTCCCGGTCTGGTTTGGCTGTCAGGGTTCCGCCGCACGAGAGGAAGCGGTTGTCAGCGGTCTGCAGGTGATAGCGGTGGTCCAGATACACGAGTGTGAGCAGCGAGTCCACACCCCACGGCACGTCGCGGTCTACGGCGAGCTCATTCCTATCGGCGCACAGGTGCGCGTACCGTTTGCGCGCGATGCTGTACACGTTGACCTGCGGGTGCACGGCCAGGTGCACGTTCCACTTCTCCGCAGGAGAGATGCTTTGCGCAAAGCACGCGATCCGGTCCTCGGTCCCGCCCAGGTAGCGCGCGTGGGGCTCGGACTGCAGGGACCACCGGCCGTCGTCGTGGGCGATCACGAGGAACCGACAGTCCGGGCCGGGCTGCTCGCTGTCTGCGGTCACCTTGCCGTCCTTGTCGGAGGCGAGGTATCGACCCAAGTGGCTTTTGATGAACACAGCATTGGAGTCTCCGTGGTCCCCGGACTGCTCCAGCGTCCACACCTGCTTCTTCTTCATTGAGCTCGCGGAGGCGTTGATTTTAAAACCAAACATCTCCGCTGTCAGATATTTGTTATCGGCATTTATCAGGCCGAACCGAATCACCAGCGTCTCGCCTATTCCCTCTGAAGACATGCTGGAGCTCGGTGGATTGTTGCACGGTTCGGTGAAGATCGAGCAGCGGTTCTGAAGAGTAGTGGGTGTGACGAGGATGAGCGATGGAGAGAGAGAGAGAGAGAGAGAGAGAGAGAGAGAGAGAGAGAGAGAGAGAGAGAGAGAGAGAGCATGTGTGTGGTAGAGAGAGAGAGTGTATGATGCTGATATGTAGGCTGTATGTAAACTTTTAGATGTCTTGCTGTATTATTCCACATTCAGAGTCTGCTCTGATCTTCACAGCTGTTTGCACCTTTTAATTTACTCAGTAAAATGCAATGTGTGGAGCCGCTACAAACCCACGTCATCTCGCTGCTGTTGCTATGGGAAGAACAGACCAATTTTAAACTGCCTCCATTGTGAACAAAAATAAATAATAAAATTTTTAAAATCCTTAAAGGATATTCTCATACAAAAATAGCTGGTTTAAAAGAGCACACATTTAAAAAAAAAATATTGCAATTGCAATGCACTTAAAAATTTAAAAGTGAAGACTTAAACATCTGTTTTAGTATTAATTAAAAAGTGCCTTTTGGACCCAGCTTTTTAACAACTTAACCTTTTTATGCAATTACTGTGTCTTGTATTGAAATAGCTACTGTAGCCTATTTATTATAGACATTTGCAATTTTAGGTTGCAAATTACCATTTAAAAAAGTAATGGCTGTTTAATTAATTATATCACATAATCTATGATTAAAATAATACCCATTACATGTGGCAAAATCTAAATATTGGTCTGTCTGTGTGCATGTTTGACAAACATTAAAAAAAAACAATGATTTAAGGTGTGTTTTAAAATAAATTGTTTAATTTATATTGTAGAAGATTTGTACATCCGTAATTGTGAATTCAATAATTATACAGTTCGTTTTAAAGAGTCATCACAAACAAAAAATCTAACTGATTTACTGCCACATTACGAAGAAATAAAATACCTCAGGTCCATCTCTAGATCTGTGTGGCTTTTTCTAAATTACTACAAATGCTATTGAAATTTAAGCCAGGAAAAACAAGAACCAGCAGGGGAGTATTTGACACGGAGGTCTTCCGCAACAGCTGTCAACCTGTAGCTTTTGACTGAGGGATTGAGTCTGGTCAGGGTGGATAGGAAATATTCTGAGGAAGCCAGAGGGGGGCGCTCCTCCTTAATCTTAATGCCACATGTGAAAGCAAGGTCTGGATGCTAATCCACATTGCTGACTCTCTGAGGCTAAACTTGGGATCTTCATCTCCAAAAAAAAAACTGTTTAAATTCTTCAGAAATAAATTGTTTATGATAACTGAATTATTTGGAAGTTGGAAAAAGGGGATTTGCCATCTCCAGGTTGGAGGAAAGTCCTTACCCCAGGTGGAGGAGTTCAAGTATATTGGGGTTTTGTCACGAGTGAGGGAAGGATGGATTGTGAGATTGACAGGTGGATTGGTGCAGCGGCAGCAGTAATGCAGTTGATGTAGCGGTCCGTTAAAGAAGAAGCTGAGCCAAAAGGCAAAGCTTTCGATTTACTGTTCAGTGTACATTCCTTCACCCATGGTCATGAGCTTTGGGTCATGACCCAAAGGACAAGATCTCGGATACAAGCACCCAAAATGAGTTTCCTTCGCAGGGTGTCAGGGCGCACCCTTATGGATAGGGTGAGGAGCTCTGACACCTAGGAGGAGCTTGGAGTAGATCGGCTTCTCCTCCACATCGAGAAAAGTCAGCTGAGGTGGCTCAGGCACCGGTTTTAGATGCCTCCTGGACGCCTACCTAGGGAGGTGTTTCAGGCATGTCCCATCGGAAGGAGGTCTCGGGGAAGACCCAGGACATGCTGAAGGGACTCTCGGCTGGCCTGGGAACGCCTCAGGAGCCCCCAAAGGAGCTGGAGGAAGTGTCTGGGGAGAGGGAAGTCTGGGGTTCTCTCCTAAAACTGCTGCATCCGCAACCCGGCCCCAGAAAAGAAAATGAAAGAGTGAATGAATGAATGCAAATCTTCTCATTGTGTGTCTCAGGAAAAACAAGATGAGTGATCATCCCATGCAAAGCATTTTAGGAACTTCAAATTTGCAATCTAGACCGAACATTATAGTTTCAAACTAATAAAAAAGTCAATAAAAGTCACTCAAGACACAAAAAAAAAAAAAAAAAAAAACTGGAGAAGGGATCAAGTTCCCAAAAAATCAATGCAAATTTAACAGCATAAATAAATGAAAAACATTTGTCCCTGACATCCTTCTAGAACATTTAAGATTATGTGTATAAGTGTTTATTTGAATCTTTACTCTTATTATTTTGCTGTTTATATCGTAGAAAAATGATTACGACACTGGCGAAGCTAGATTTCAGAGACTGCTCTCTGTGGATTTATAGCCTATAAAAACTCTATAAAAATACTGAATGTGGATGTTTCCTCAGCTGGATGAAGGAAGCAGGAACTGGCTCGGGTTATTTTCAGGGCAAACAGCAGCTTTCCTCTTCTTGTAAAGGACAGGATATTGATCGAGTCCTTCATGCTTGGCTGAGTGTCTGATGGAAATTAAATCTCTTCACTCATATTCTCTCCTTCGCTCTTCTGCATGAATATCAGTAGGTAATCAAGAGGTATTATTGATTGCGTTTCAGGGATAATTCATTATTAATGTGTTTCATTGTTTGAGAGGGAATGCACTGCATTGTATGGGGCGACTCAGTGGTTAGCAATCACAGCAAGAAAGTCGCCATGTTTGCTTGGGTTTCCTTCTATAGTCCAAAAATGAACTAAATTGCCTGTAGTGTATGAATGCGAGAGTGTATGGGTGTTTCCCAGTACTGTGTTGAGACTGGAAGAGCATCCGCTGCATAAAACATAAGCTGAAATAGTTGGTGGTTTATTCCGCTGTGGCAGCCCCTGATAAATAAGGAATTAAGCCAAAGGAGAATGAATGAATGCACTGAATGGAACTGTATTATATCTAAAAATTAAATGTTACCCTACACTTACACTGATGATTAACACGACACACTGCCTAAAGCAGACCCCAAAACAGTTTGCATTCACATACATAGAAGGAACTAATTAAACAAGCTTCATTTGCTCTTTTAATGAGCTGGACTCTTGTGTGGCCCAGAGATACACACTTACGACCTGCTTCCAGGCTTCCAGAATGATCTGTCAGTTCAGAATCAGCTTTGACTGAGTCGTGCCTGTAATCTCAGTCTGCTAATGAAGTGGCGTAAATGATGCACAACGTTTTCTGTCAAACCCAACTAATAAAACCATTAAGTGAATTAACATCCTTACATATAATGCTGCAAGCTAAGTTTAGTTTCATCCTACACAGTTCACAAAAAATAAGTATCAGAATACATCGGTTTTAATATAGTTTGATGTGTAATGTGCCATATTTTCTATTTGAGGTCTAGAATTATTAAATATGTTGCATTCCTCTTTGTTTAAAAACCCTCAAGTAATAAAAGTCAAAACATGGATCTCTGGTCTGTCGGCTGGAGGTTTGTGCCCGTGATAAGACAGCTATTCCAAGAAGTCAAAGAATCCTTACGGTTTCTTGTCTTGAAACTAATCTTGCTACAAAAGTATGATGGTTACAGACTCAACAGCTCTCTCTGCTGATGATATTGTGGTAGTTAAAATGTAAATCATTTCTGGAATTTGTGCCTGTAGAAAATGTAGCTTGTGACTTAAATTCCAACAACATTTCATGATTTTAAACAGGGGTGGATTTAGCGAATTAGGGGCCCAAGTCCTGAAATGCATCCTTTCTACTTTTTTTTTTTTTTTAAGCAGTTGTTTTTATTTTACTCAATCTTTTTTATGTTTTAATGCAATCTCTACATTTCAAATAATTAATTTTCTTAAAATGAATTTACAACAAAAAATAGTTAGTTATTAGCCCCCGTTTATTTTTTTCCCCAACTCATGTTTAGAGAAGATTTCTTCAACACATTTCTAAACATAATAGTTTTAATAAGTCATTTCTCAATTTCTAACAGCCATGATGACAGTAAATAAAATTTGCCTATATATTTTTCATCACCCTTCTATACAACCTAAATTGACATTTAAAGGCTTAACTAGGTTAATCAGGCAGGTTAGAGTAATTAGGTAAGTTATTGTATAACGATGGTTTGTTCAGTACAGTCGAAAGAAAATATAGCTTAAAGGGGCTAATAATTTTGTCCTTAAAATGGTTTTAAAAAAATTAAAAACTGCTTTTATTCAAGCCGAAATAAAACAAATAAAGGGGGGCTAATAATTCTGACTTCAAGTGTGTGTGTATATATATATATATATATATATATATATATATATATATATATATATATATATATATATATATATATATATATATATATATATATATATTTTTTTTTTTTTTTTTTTTTTTTATGTAACTGCTGGACTGCTCCATGATTGGGGGTGCTGGATATTTTTATTTTATAATATTATTATTACATAACATTACATTATTATAATAATATTATATTTTAGTGTATATTAAATAATATTTAATTATGTAAAAAAATTCTCTCATTAATTTAAATTTAATTATATATAAAACAATGTTATATACAGTTTTTAGGTATATATTTTTTTATTAATAATATAATTTTTTTATTTTATTTACTCCTAGATATTTATTGGGGGCCCACAGATTTCCTGGGGCCCTAAGCGACCGCTTACTTTACTTATAAGTTAAATCTGCCCCTGGCAAGTATAAGCTGAAAGCATGCATTTATCTGATTTAAAAACATTTTAGGGATCATTACTAGTCTTTAGTGTCACATGATCCTTTAGAAATGATTCTAATATGCTGATTTCTTTTGTTTTAAAAAGGCTCTGCTGCTTAATATTTTTGTGTACATGTAAATAAAAAAACTGAAATCTTTTAATAAATAAAAGTCATTTATTTCATTGTTTAAAAATCTGTTTATTATTTGTTAATAATAAATTCATGGTATACCTTGAATAAATTGAATGCGTCCTTGCTTCATAAACATATTG